AAAAAGTAAGTGCAAGTTATTTTGAACAAAGTTTCTACTTTTAATAATTTTTTTGACATTTCATTTGCACTGCCTTGTTATTTGAATATTTTAAGCAGACAATTTTTAAAAAATTTTAGACATCAATATTAAACCTTGCCAAAAGTAGTCTCCTATGCAGACGTTCTTTGGGCTCGTCACGTAATCATCCTCCCCCACTGTTCATTGGGGAGAAAGATTGCGTGACAAGCCTAAAGAGCAATCTGCATTGGAGGCTATGCCAAAAGAAGTAACCAAACTAGGGTAAGATGCACATGCTCTGGCTACATTTTGTTTTATGACTAGACTGCTAGTGTGTTGAATGGTTGACAGATCTGTTTGCTTGTTTTGCAAAAGGAAAAAGGTTTGGTTGAAATTTAATTTGTGCTTTCTCTCCTAGTATGGGCATCCAATCAACCAAGAGGACCTTGCTGGAACACTGTCTACTTTTTCATCTGTCGTTATCGAGGGTTTGGAACTTTTGGGAGTTTCAGTGACAGAAAATGAAAAGGACGGTTACCAGAAGCTGTGGAAATATGCTGGTTATTATCTTGGTGAGTACAAAAAAAAAAACTTTGTTCTTACACAGTTACATATTATAATTCAATCACCAATATTGAAAGTGCATTCCTATGCTTTTGATTACCAGCAATAAATATTTAAAGTGCTGACTTGCAAATGTCACCTTAAATTACGAGTTTAAACAAATGTGTACCCTAAAAGGATCAGCAGTCTATTGCAATAAAACAATACTTATTTGCATTAACCAAGCATTTAAATTCCTCTTTCTTCATACCAGGAATGACAAGTGATCTGCTATGTAATGACTACAAAGATGAGTGGAAACTATGTACTTTGATAAAAGTACGACAGTGCAAGCCCGACAAAGACTCTGTTATTTTGACAAAAACACTACTGCAAGAGTTTGCCAACAAACCTCCCTTTCATCTAAGTTATACTACCACAAGCAGCTTATCGAGACACATGATTGGCAATGAACTTGCCGATGAGCTTGGTCTCCTAAGTTTCAATGTGCCTGGTCAGATAGTTATGACATTGTTGTACTGGTTTCTTAAAACTGTGTCATTCATTCAAAGAGGCATCCCTCCTCTGGAACGAGGGATGTATGCATATGGAAGCCATTGCTTGAATACAATACTTGAACAGTCCTTGAAAGGAAGGAAGCCATCTTATATCATGAAGGTGTATTCTTGAACAAGAACTGTCAGAGGATTTCTTAAATTATTTGAGTATGTCTGATGCCCCCTAGCTTGGTGGACAAACGTGAGTGGCGGGGCTATGAGTAGCACAGGTGTAAGAAGAGGACACAGCTCATGGTTTCTCCCCTCTTGTCTTCTAGTTTGTCTAAGTTTCTTCCCTTGTTGATCTTTGAGCAAAAGAGAGACTGCTCGCAATCTACTGTAATCCTTTTGATCAGCACCAAGAATAAATTAACGACCATTGGCTAATTCTAGGTCTTTCTGTGCAGATCCAGTGCTTACTCCACCACAATCTGATGGCTGATTATCAGAAATGAGCCCTCTGTGCCTTAGTCTTAGTTCTTGGTGCTGACCAGGAAACAAGTCCTATGCACAACCCAGTCACCTGGTAGAATTGGAAAATCAGCCACACAATGGGACTTACAAAACAAAGAAATTTATCCCAGTCCAGCTTAACTTTCCTTTGTTTTGGAGAACAACCGCAAAATATCTATCAAGAAATACACAGTTGATTTTGCAAACAGCTTCATATATAATACCATTGGACAACTTACTAACATGAATACCTTAAAGTTACCATCTTTCATGACAACCAAAAGCTTTAACTTCTAAGTGGAATGAGCTACTTTGTGGAAATCGCTAATTTAAATGCCCTCTTTAAAACTGTAAACTCTAACTCTAAAATACTTAGTAATTACAATGATCCTGATAGGCCAAGTTTTCATATTATGATCACTCCCAGTCCTTATCATGACACAAGATGCAGAAGGCCTCAAGATTTCACATTTTTTATTTCTTCATGATATGGACACTTGCTTTGTCCTTTAAACGACCAAATTAGGAAGCTTGGAATGAAATGTTACTTTACTTTTAATTAGTATTACACTTTTAAAATAATGTTTACTTACAAGTTTTAACTCTAGCAGATTCTTCCCTAGAATGTTATTATGATTACTGAAAGTTCCTAGAAATTGAACCAAAAATGCTATCTTGAAACTCAACCTCAAAACTTGAACTCTAACTCGAAAAAACCCTTCACTTTACTATGCTACAGTTTGCCTTTGAATAGCTGCAATACCTATGAGTGAAAAAAAACTTTTACAGTATAAGACATCAGCTACATGTTCGTCCTTGCTACAAGGAGTCTTGGATGGGCAAGTTGCTTAGGATTAAGAAATTGGGCCTGCTTTAGATGAGTTTTTTCTCTGTAATAATCAATGAAAACACTCAGAAAAAGTGTTAAGAATCACCTGAATGTCTGT